GTCCCCGGCGGGTGACGCTCCCGCTCTCTCCGCAGACCAGCATGAAGAACATGGAGCGGGAGCTGGTGTGCCCGGTGTGCAAGGAGATGTACAAGCAGCCGCTGGCGCTGCCCTGTACCCACAACGTGTGCCACGTGTGTGCCAGCGAGGTGCTGCTGCAGCACGGCCACCTCTACTGCGACCCCACCTCGGAGCCCACCTCGCCTGCAGCCACCCCGTCCACCCGCAGCCCCCGCCTGGGCCGCAGGGCTGTCCCCAAGCCCGACCGGCTGGACCGCCTGCTCAAGTCAGGTGGGGCTGGAGGGGCTGCAGGAGGGACAACAGGGGGACAGGGCTGGCTGCAGGTGGTGGGGGTAGCTGAGGGCATGGGGACAGGGAGGGCTGGAGGGGTTTGGGACAGCCAGAGGGGACAGGGATGGCTGGAGAGGACAGGAGTGGCTGAGGGGATGGGGACAGGGTGGCTGGAGGGGTCTGGGACAGCCAGAGGGGACAGGGATGGCTGGAGGGGTTTGGGACAGCCAGAGAGGATGGGGACAGCTGGAGGGGACAGGAGTGGCTGAGGGGATGGGGACAGGGTTGGTTGGAGGGGTTTGGGCAGCTGGAGGAGATGGGGACAGGGATGGCTGGAGGGAACAGGGATGGATGGAGCGGACGGAGATGGCTGGAAAGAACAAGGGTGGCTGAGGGGGTGAGGACAGAGATGGCTGGAGGGGTTTGGGACAGCCAGAGGGGATGGGGACAGTTGGAGGGGACAGAGATGGCTGGAGGAGATGGGGATGGCTGGAGGGGACAGGAGTGGCTGAGGAGATGGAGACAGGGATGGATGGAGGGGTTTGGGACAGCCAGAGGGAACAGAGATGGATGGTTGGAGGAAATGGGGACATCAGAGGGGACAGAGATGGCTGGAGAGGACAGGAGTGGCTGAAGGGATGGGGACAGGGATGGCTGGAGGGGTTTGGGACAGCTGGATGGGACAGGGATGGCTGGATGGGACAGGGATGGCTGGAGCGGACGGAGATGGCTGGAAAGGACAAGGGTGGCTGAGGGGGTGAGGACAGAGATGGCTGGAGGGGTTTGGGACAGCCAGAGGGGATGGGGACAGTTAGAGGGGACAGGAGCGGCTGAGGAGATGGGGACAGGGATGGATGGAGGGGTTTGGGACAGTCAGAGGGAACAGAGATGGATGGTTGGAGGAAATGGGGACACCAGAGGGGACAGAGATGGCTGGAGAGGACAGGAGTGGCTAAAGGGATGGGGACAGGGATGGCTGGAGGGGTTTGGGACAGCTGCATGGGACAGAGATGGCTGAAGGAGAGGGGGATGGCTGGAGGGGATAGGGATGGATGGTTGGAGGAGATGGGGACAGCAGAGGGGATAGAAATGGTTGGAGGGGACAGGAGTGGCTGAGGAGATGGGGACAGGGTTGGTTGGAGAGGTTTGGGACAGCTGGAGGAGATGGGGACAGGGATGGCTGGAGGGGTTTGGGACAGCCAGAGAGGATGGTGACAGCTGGAGGGGACAGAGATGGCTGGAGGAGATGGGCATGGCTGGAGGGGACAGGGGTGGCTGGAGAGCACTGGGTGGCTGAGGAGATGAGGACAGAGATGGTTGGAGGGAACAGGGATGGCTGGAGGGGAGGTGAATGGCTGGAGGGGATGGCAGTGGGAAGAAGAACAGCAGAGAGCATGAGGATGGCTGGAGAGGACAAGGACAGGGATGGCTGGAGGCACTGGGAGCAGGACCAACAGGAAGGGATGGCGGTGGGCACGGGGACAGCACCCTGGGCTCCCCCCGGGAGAGGGCTGAGGGACTCCGTGCCCTGCTGACCCCCACCCCTGCCTCCTTCCCACAGGCTTCGGCACCTACCCGGGGCGCAAGCGGGGTGCCGTGCACCCCCAGACCGTCAGCTTCCCGTGCCCCGCCTGCCAGCGGGACGTGGACCTGGGCGAGCGGGGCCTGGGCAGCCTCTTCCGCAACCTGACGCTGGAGCGGGTGGTGGAGCGCTACCGGCAGACCATCAACATCAGCGCGGCCATCATGTGCCAGTTCTGCAAGCCCCCGCAGCTGGAGGCCACCAAGGGCTGCACGGAGTGCAAGTCCAGCTTCTGCAATGAGTGCTTCAAGCTCTACCACCCCTGGGGCACGCAGAAAGCCCAGCATGAGCCCACGCCCCCCACCCTCACCTTCCGCCCCAAGGTGGGTCCTCCCGCCCTGGTTAAGGCTGGGAGAGTTGGGATGGTTCAGCCTGGAGAGGAGAAGCTTTGGGGTTACCAAATTGTGGCCTTCTGGTGTCTGAAGGCAATTTTAGGAAAAATGGGGTGAGACCATTTACAAGAGCCTGTAATGACAGGACAAAGGGCAACAGGTTCAGATTGAAAGAGAATGAGTTTAGGTTAGATATCAGTAAAAAAATTATTCTAGTGAGGGTGATGTGGTCCTGCAACAAGTTGCCCATGGAAGTTGTGAATGCCACACCCCTGGAAGTGGTGTGGATGTCCCTGCTCGTGTCACACGGGTTAGGACAAGATGATCTTCAAGGTCCCCTTCCAACCCCAGCCATTCTGTGATTCTGGAGATGTGGGGTGCAGGGCTGGGACTCTGCGGGGCTGCAGGGGGGTGCAGGGCCCCGCTGAGCCCCTCTGTGCCTGTGCAGGGGCTGATGTGCCCGGAGCACAAGGAGGAGGTGACTCACTACTGCAAGACCTGCCAGCGGCTGGTGTGCCAGCTGTGCCGCGTGCGCCGCACCCACACCAGCCACAAGATCACCCCGGTGCTCAGCGCCTACCAGGCCCTCAGGGTAAGAGCTCCTGGGGCCAGGCTGGGGCTCTGCGGGGAATTTGGGGCACCACAGAGCCCCAGTGCAGAGGGGAGGGGTGTGGGGCGGGGGCTGCTGGCGCCATCTCATCACCTTCTTGCAGGAGAAGCTGACAAAGAGCCTCGCCTACATCCTGAGCAGCCAGGACACGGTGCAGACCCAGATTGCTGAGCTGGAGGAGACGGTGAAGCACACGGAGGTAAGGGCAGAGGATGCCCATCTGTCCCTGAGCTGTCCCTGGGCAGGGGTGGCACAGGCAGCCCAGTCCCCTCTGATGCCAGGACGTGCCACACGCCGACCCTGCCGTGTCCGTGCCCGGCAGGTAAACGGCTCACAGGCCAAGGAAGAGGTGTCCCAGCTGATCCAGGGGCTCTGTGCCATGCTGGAGGAGAAGCGTGCCACGCTGCTGCAGGCCATCGAGGAGTGCCAGCAGGAGCGGCTGGCCAGCCTGCACGGCCAGATCCGGGAGCACCAGGCCATGCTGGAGAACTCGGGCATGGTGGGCTATGCCCAGGAGGTGCTGAAGGAGACTGACCACCCCTGCTTTGTCCAGGCTGCCAAGCAGCTGCACAACAGGTACTGAGCTGCCAGGGGTGTTGGGACCCTCTGGTGCCCGAGGTGGCAGCCTGATATCCCCTCTCCCCTGTGCTGCAGGATCCTCAGGGCCACCGATTCGCTGCAGAGCTTCCGTCCTGCAGCCAACGCCTCCTTCAGCCACTTCCAGCTGGATGTCAGCAGGGAGCTGAAGCTGCTCACTGACCTGGCCTTCATCCGAGGTAAAGGCAGCGGGAGCCGGGCACCGGCTGTGCCCCGTGCCGAGGCACAGCCCCTGCGGGCAGAGCGGGTCCCTGCCCGCCTCGGAGCCGCGGCTCAGCCACCTCGCGGATGTGCCGGTGCCCCCTCCCCGTCAGGGACAGCCCCCGCCCCAGCAGCCCCCAGAAATACCCCTGCCCTGTGCCAGGGCAGCCGGGGCAGGCAGGCAGGGCCGTGGTGCCAGGTGAGGGTGGCAGCAGTGCCGGAGGGTGAGTACGGAGCTGCCCCGCCGCCGGGCAGGCGCTTCCCGCAGGGCAGGAGCCGCGTGGCCCTGCCAGGGTCTGGCGACCCGTTTCAGACCTGCTTCTACCTCTCTTTGTTTATAGGCTGCGGCCGCTGCCGAGGCGTCACCGAAGTAACTGAGGCAAGTCACACCCCTGCCCCAGAGCCGCCCCCGCTCTCTCTTCCCATCCCTCCATCCTGCTCCCAGCCCCGGCCCCGCTCCGCCGCCATCCTCCATCCCCTCCATCCCCTCCATCCCCTCCATCCCCTCCATCCCCCCCATCCCCTCCATCCCCTCCATCCCCTCCATCCCCTCCATCCCTTCCATCCCCTCCATCCCCGTCCTGCCCGCTGGCCTTGGCAGCCGCTGGCTCTGCCTCCTCCATCTGCCGCCCCTCCTGCCCTCCCACCCCCTCTCGCCACATTCCCATCCCCATCCTCACCCTGTTTCCATCCCCATCCTCACCCAATTTCCATCCCCATCCTCACCCCGTTTCCATCCCCCTCTTGCCCCATTTCTGTCCCTTCTTGGCTCATTTCCATCCCCCTCTCTCCACATTTCTGTGCCCATCCTCACCCCATTTCTGTCCCCATCCTCACCCCACTTCCATTCCCCTCTCGCCCCATTTCTATCCCACTCCTTGCTCCATTTCCATCCCCTTCCTTGCCCCATTTCTGCCCCTTCTCACCCCCTTTCCATCCCCTCTCTCCCTATTTGTCCCACTCCTTGCTCCATTTCCATCCCCTTCCTTGCCCCATTTCTGCCCCCTCTCACCCCATTTCCATTCCCCTTTCACCCCATTTCCATCCCCCTCTCACCTCATTTCCATCCCCATCCTCATCCCATTTCCATCCCCCTCTCGCCCCATTTCTCTCCCTTCTCACCCCATTTCCATCCCCTTCCTTGCCCCATTTCTGTCCTCTCTCACCCCATTTCCATCCCCTTCCTTGCCCCATTTCTGTCCTCTCTCAC